TCCAGCTCACTTGGTAGGCAACGCTCAGGAGAACAACATGTTCTCCTGCTGTGTCCCGACGTGCTGCCGACCTTCTCGTTGCAGAAGAGGCCAAAACGAGACTCTTTCCCGAGAATATAGACATTGGTTCAACCCTCACCCTCGACACCTCTGGCCCTTTGCCAGAAGGCACCCACAGGTAACACAGGGCCCAGGGCAGGCCCATCCAGTCCAGGCCTCAGCTCTGCCCATCAGGGCAGTGCCCAGCCCCTCCCGATGTGTTTGGGGGAAACAGGAGATGAGGGGCCCTCCCTGGACAGGAGCAGGTTGGTTGTCAGGTGTTTGGAGCCTAGTAGGTATGTCAGGTTCGCAGCCCAGACCATGCCTGGCAGGATGGGAAGGTGAGGGTCGAGGACACAGTCTGTCTGCTCAGATCTGAATCCCAAGACCTCAAGCTTCATCTGCCGGAGACCTCAACCTTCTCTGGCTGGGAGGTCTATGCAGATGCTCCCATGTCCCAAATCTTGTTGAGGAAGGGGGAGGCAGGGAGGAGTTTTAATGGGTGTGTCCCACTGTGGGGTCAGCCAGGCAGGCCACTGACACCTCTTGGCCCGGCTCTCGGGCACTCTCTCTGCAGAGCTCCACACAGCGGATCAAGCAGGAGCTGTTGGAAGGATTCCATTTCTCCATCTTCTTTAAAGGACAGGTGCACCATGCCCCAACAACGGCCAGTGCTGGTCTGGGGTGAGACGGGGCACAGAACGGTCTCCATAGACAGGGACTAGAGAAAACCACGGTAGGCCGAAGACTCAAACATGAATATGGGGACTCCCTAAGCTCTAGGGCTTTCACACTTGAGTGAGCCACTGTCCTCTCCCAAAGAAATCTGGCTGCCATCAGTCCCCAGTGGCAACTTGGTTACAGGCAAAGTCCCTCTCGCCTATCAGAGGAAGATCAGAGAAAATCCATCTGTTTTCACTTTATGCTATGCCAGGAGTATCTCAGCATGTTGCCACAAGAATTGAGTACAGTGATAACACTATAGCAACACACTCATATTGTTATCATTTTAACTCCCCACCCTAAGTGGATCTCTGGCAACAGGCAGCTCCACTGCCCTGCCAGACCTCTAGGATTTAAAATCCAACACTTTTACACAAACAAGGGGGGCAGTGGGGGGGCGGATCATTGATTACAACAAAAGAAGGTGAAGCTACTCTATGCATCTGTCTTTAAAGTGTCATCTCACAGAACTCATCCCTGCAGGCCCATCGCGCAGGAGCTGCACCCTCGCATGTCACTGTAATATTCCTT